GGCACCGCGATGATTCACGGGGCCCCTCCTCGCTGTGGGAGCCGCTCTTTGAGCACTCACTCCCTCTTTCGTCCGTGTGAAGGATGGTCGTCTACCTCCCGTGAAGTTAATACATCACCAAAACAGTCTCACCCGATAAATAAGTGGCGTAGGCCGCAAACAAAGAACACGCACACTATTAGCAAGAAAAGGGTACACAAGCCCGAGGAGGTACACCTGCAATCTCTGCAGCACGTTTGCGTCCTCACAACTGAACTACACGCTCACGCACTACAATTCGACTAGTACACAGCAGCAGCATCACCCCCGTGTCCCGCACTCAACCAAAATGAATGTCGACTACAGCGTCCCGCTGTCTGAAGTGCTGTCTGTAGAACAAACTCGAAATAAGTCAAGTACCCAGCTGGTTTTCCTCTTCTCACTGTAAAGACTTCAACACATCCCCTTCGAGTGTAGTTATACCTCGAACGGGTAGTCTTTCTGTGTGTATATTTGTTTCTCCTAATAATAACACAATGGTGCATGGTACACAAGCTCGGGGCATGCAGCTGCTGCTGAAGTGCTGTCAGAATGAGTCCGTTGACATCCAATCAAGAAGAACAACCAACCAAAGATCATTGCAATTGACAATAGACTGTTTCGGAAGATTTGCCGGAAAAGTTCACTTTCACTTTTATTGGGAACCGTTCCTGCTGGGAAAGTTCTTGTTCATACAAAAGTTCATTTTTAAGAAAAAAAAATATGTAGATGACGTGGACAGTCGTCTCGTGGTGATTGGTGTAGGTCTCGCCGCATCTAGGCGCGGCGGAATACAGGTTAGGCCGCGTGTTTTTTTTAATATCACACACCCGAGAGGCCGACAGGCGGGACACATCCCAATGGTCGCACCGAGAGCACGCTGCCGGCGTCACCAGCGCCCACAGACTTCCCCAGGGCCTCCCACCATGTCCCGCCTACGCATCCGAGATCGAACTGCTCGCAAGAAGTGAGCACTGCTGCTGATGCAGTGGCAGCAGTCCTGTAGCCGCTACACCAGCATGTGGTTCGCTTCCTACGTCGCGGTCATCTACACTCTGGGTCGCCTGGCCATCGATGATATCCCGACCGGTGCTGCACGGAGGGACGTAGACAACTTCTTCAGCCCTCAGGATTGCGTGGAGTTTATGAGGTTTACGCAAGACCAGGTAATTCTAACTATTGAGTGACGTTGGTAACGCTGGTGCTGTGTTGCTGCTGTGTGCCTGNCTGCTCGCAAGAAGTGAGCACTGCTGCTGATGCAGTGGCAGCAGTCCTGTAGCCGCTACACCAGCATGTGGTTCGCTTCCTACGTCGCGGTCATCTACACTCTGGGTCGCCTGGCCATCGATGATATCCCGACCGGTGCTGCACGGAGGGACGTAGACAACTTCTTCAGCCCTCAGGATTGCGTGGAGTTTATGAGGTTTACGCGAGACCAGGTAATTCTATCTATTGAGTGACGTTGGTAACGCTGGTGCTGTGTTGCTGCTGTGTGCCTGCTGTGTGTGCCTGCTGCTGTCGGGAGTGGACAAAGAAAGACAGATAGACCATGACCGCACACAAAAGACCGCGAGTTGTGCTGTGACGAGAGCGACACCCGAAGGCACGAAATNCTGTCGGGAGTGGAAAAAGAAAGACAGATAGACTATGACCGCACACAAAAGACCGCGAGTTGTGCTGTGACGAGAGCGACACCCGAAGGCACGAAATGCACACAGCAAGGTTGAGTGTTTTGTCAACGAACGGCTACTGCATGTATTTTGACAAACACTATCATGCTGCTTCGGATCTTTTTGTGCGGCAGATCGTACTCATGCTGGAACTGCTCATGGTGCCTGCCATCATTCGGACAGA